CAGCAATATGCAAATTAGGTAAAGGCATTAATTAAGCATGCGAAAGGCTGACTTTTTAGAACAAAATGAATAGTTAAAGGGCTTAAACTAAACCAAATTGTCTGAAATTTTGTACAGTAATTAAAAATCCGACAAATTTTCAATCTATTAACTCAAAATATGATTACAACTTTTACATTTTGTGCGCGAGCCATTTTAATTTGTTGGAAAAGACACACCCCCCTGGTTCACAAAATTTGAGTTCGAGAAATTTATTTTTTTCATTATTTTAAATTATAAATACCCAAAGAAGCTATATATATAAAAAAAAACACATCCAAATAGGTGTTTTGCGAAATTGAGAGCAATTTCAAATCTGTTCAGTTTTTTTTTATACACCCTGTATAGACCATAATATTCTTATTGATATCCTCAAGAATGATTTTGGAGTAGTGGACAGCGCACTTCAGTGGTTTAGATCGTATCTGGCTAATAGAAAGCAACAAGTTGTCATTGATCGGTGTATGTCCTCCGAGATCATGGTTGCTACTGGAGTTCCCCAAGGCAGCTGCCTGGATTCTGTTCTATTTATACTTTACGTGTCTGGCCTTTCTGAGATTATTTCTAAACATCTGCCTTGTCATCATGCTTATGCAGATGACACACAATTGTATCTTTCTTTTAAACCTCAGAACTCATTGCATCAGGAGTCAGCTGTTAAAGCAATGGAAGATTGTATTGATGAGCTTCGAAACTGGATGTCTGCACATCGTCTTTTTATTCAAAGTAGCAAGACAGAATTTATTATTATTGGCTCTCGTCAGCAATTGTCCAAGGTATCGATTGACAAATTGAGGGTAAGAGAAATATTGATTTCTCCGGTAGGCGCTGTTCGTGATCTTTGGTCTTGGTTAGATACTCACATGCCAATGAATTTGCATATTAGCAAAATCTGCAGCAAGGCCTTTCGAAGCCTTTAGCATATCAAACAAATCAGGAAATACTTAACTGACGATGCCACTAAAATTTTAGTTCATGCATTTATTACATCCCATTTTGATTATTGCAATTCTTTGCTGTATGGAATTCCAAAATATCAATTAAATCGATTGCAGAAAGTGCTAAACGCTGCTGCTCGTGTTGTATGTCTCGTACCTAAGTTTGATCATATTACACCTACATTAACGAGACTGCATTGGTTACTGGTTAAATACCGTGTTATATTCAAGATCGTACTGTTGGTTTATGAAGCTCTACATTGATTGGCTCCCAAATATATTCGTGACATGTTGACTCATCAACAAAGTAATAACTACTCTTTCAGATCGGACGAACTGGTGCTTCTTCATGTTCCAAGCACACGTACAAAGTCTTTTGGTGATCGTGCCTTTTTGAAAGCAGGACCTACTCTATGGAACTTAGTACCGTGTGAGATTCGGCTTTCACCTTAGTTGGATTCTTTTAAGACAAATCTTAAGACATTTTTGTATAGAGATGCGTACACTAATAATACTTCTTGATTTTAAATATTTTTAAATAGATGCTTATAAGTAGCTAAATGTTGTGTAATAACGTAGGGAAATTTTTAAATTAGCTTCCTATTTTATGTAATTAAGCGCTTTAGAATATTGTATAGTTTTAGCGCGGTACAAATTAATAAATTATTATTATTATTACTTATTACTTGAATCTTTTAATTTCAATTTAGACTATTTTAAAATTAGACTGACATTTATGTATATAATTCATTTGTGTGACGCCCCTCTTGAAAAACATCTTCGGATGATGAGGGAAGTTTGGATAAATAAAGTTTTATTCTATTCTATTCTATTCTATTCTAGCCATTCTATTCTATTTCTATTCTATCCTGTTGTGTTGTGTTGAGTTGTGTTCTCTTCTATTCAATACAATTTTTTGACTCTTTCTACAGCTTTCTACCTCGACTTGGTTTCGACTTGGACTCATACTCGACTCGGACTCATACTCGACTCGACTTGGACTCGGACGCGACTCGGACTCGACACGGACTCGGACTCTACTCGGACTCGACTTGTGATGACTCGACCGGTTAGAGGCGTAACTTGGATATTACGGCTGGGGGGAGTGTAAGTTGTTTTGCCCGACCAAAAGGGTGTGTGGCGTCGTGCGCGATGGACATTTCAGTCTCGGGGGGAGAAAAAAAATTTTCGGACATACCATTTTTCCACTAACTTACCGAAATTAGTTCAATTTTTGAGAAATTTTCCTACAAATAATATTACTTTTCAAAAAATGATGTAACATTTTTACTGAATTGCATATTTTTTGCTCGACGAACGTGTCGTTAAAATTGCTAAAAGTGCCCCAGAATACCCCAATATTACAACATTGGCATAAAAGGGGTGTGCCCCCCCCCCACGCCGGAGTTACGCCTCTGCTGTTGGTAGCTCGTTACAACACTGCCACAAATACACAAATATGAACCTTTATTTTGTGTATTAACATGTAATAGTTATGTACAGTAACAGGTTAACACTTCGTTTGAAGTCTCTAATTCCACAGTACAATGCTCAGTCTAATACTAGTGCTATAGTTCTCCGATGCATCGTATGTCAAACACCACAAGAAAGTCAAATTTTGTATTCCTCTATGGATTGTGGCTCTTCAACTGCCGATTTGGGCATAAATTAATTATATTTATCCAGGAAACATATATGCATCACTAGGGTAAAAGAGTGATACCATTTCTAGTCAGTTCTGTTTGTTGTCTTTGAATAAAGAAGGGTTTTGTTTCTCGGTCACTTGTGTAAAGATAAAACGCTGTACTGCGACAAATGCTTCGGAGGGCTATTCTTGACTTGATTATTGTTTCAAAGCAACGGTCGGGTAATCCAGCTCTTCCGTTCATGCAAGGTGGAAGTTTGGAATAAATCAGCACGTACTGTGGACAAAAACCATTTACCATGTCTCTCAGTGCATTATTGTTTAACAACTTATACTCCGAGTGATTTTCGATCCGTTCTGGATTTGTGGGGAATGCCATTCTAAAATTGGCGCCTTTTGGTGTTGGGGGAAACACATCAATGGTTCTCATGTTAAGGCTCCTACTCCTGGAAAGAGCCTGGTCGACATTCCTGTCAGTCAAGATTAATTCGGCTCTTCCAGTTGGCTGTAGATAAATAAATGCAAACTGACGACCTGAAAAAAATACAAAATTTTAAGATGAGGAATTTCATGAATATTTGGACCTGATGACATCTAGTCTCTTGTCATACGTTATTATGTTTTATTTTTTATCAGTTAGAATGAAGCAATCTGGTTGGCTGAGGAGCCTTTCAGAGACGGCCGGTTTTTTGCATCCGGCCCGCTTTGAAATGCAACTGCCCCTCTGGTTTTCGCAGCAAAAAATGAGTTTTGAAACAATTTTGAATTAAACGAAAAAAAAAAGCCGAAACGTTAGAAAAACGTAGCCTAACGATAGTCAGATACGAAAATGAATTGCATCAAGCCCTAAACACTTCATACTAAGCACGATGTAGGCCTACACCAGAAGTGATAATATTTTGAGAAAAATGCGACTGAAAGTCGAAAGTTATTCGATATCTATAAAACTTTCGAGAAAACTTGATATATTTTTTAAATGCGCATGTATATTTGTCCACTTAAAGCGAAAAAATTACAGCTTAAACGGATATTATAAAATAAATGTTTTCCCATTTAAAAGAAGGTTTAACTGCAACAGTGAAAACAAGTCACGAATATATTCTCTACCATTTGGGTCAGGCATTTTTTCATAGATATAAATAATTTTAAACAAAGTGAAAGTGTGTGTTTAAAACAGTTTTCAAGCATATTATCGTGACACGACAAGAAAAATGGAATTTTAATAAATTTAATTTCTACATCTGATAAAAAATAAACACGTTATTTACCTGCAGCGTTGGTCCGGATGAAAAAAACTGCCCTCGTCTTGAATCTCAAGACTTCGGGCACAGTTTTTCATATCCGGACCTCGCAGCTGGTAAATAACATATTATATATATATATATATATATATATATATATATATATATATATATATATATATATACATATATATATATATATATATATATATATATATATATATATATATATATATATATATATATATATATATATATATATATATATTACTTGACACTTGTACGGAAGATTCAGTTGTATTGTTATCTCCTATAACTAAATATATAGAAATAAACTGAAACTAATAAGATGGACTGACGTCCGACCCTGAAACGGGCCTGGAAAATAGTGTTTTTTACAAAGAGGACAATTAATAAAATATATACCTTGCGATTCACCAGACGCATGTAGAACTTTCTGCCGAAGCGATTCTGCAATTGTTGATGGTGTATTTGCCACACCAGTTCTCTTTTCCGAGTTGGGATCATTTTTCATTCTTCGACTTTCCCCATAACTTGCTGAGTAGAAAAGGAAAACAACACATAATGCTTTCGCGACCTTCATTTTTTCGTTTTGAACTTTTTCAAACTGCTTTAAATCAAGGAGTGGGTAAGAAGCCTTTCGCCAAAAGAGAACAAGCGTCGAATGATTTCATTGTAAAGAATTTACTTCTCTTTGTTCAAGACTATTCATTAATATCTTGCTGGGTTTCACTGCAGGTTGATCATTCATGGTACCAGTGCAAAGTTTGTTCCACACCGCGTGTTCCAATGGAAAATCATTATTTTTACTATTATTATCAACTTTTTAACTGTAAATTTTGTAAACTTTCGTTCAGTTAAACTACAAAGAATGCGATAAAAATGCCTTATTACTTAGGAATTGACAAACATGTATAACAGCAACAATACTGCATCAGAACAAAGATATCTATTGCCATCTGAACAGCATAATATATGTTTGCTGTAGAAATAAAAAAAATGGACAAATCCAGAAATAATGAACGATTAAGCTATCTATTTTGTGATAAATAATAATTCTTGCATTTATAATATTATAACAAAATTTGAATTTGTAGCCAATTGTATAGGTTATCTCAATTGTAAGTTACGTACTTTAATATTCTACTGGGAGCACTATTTGCCTATTAGCTGGTACCCGTCCGTGAAATGTAGTAATTCATGAAGCTTGAAATGGAGTTTCCTGAAGCGTGAAATGGACTTTCCTAAAGCATAAAATGGAGTGTCCTGAAGCGCGAAATGGAGTTTCCTGAAGCAGTGTGAAATTTGGACAGGTTAATATCTTAATTGTGTTAATTTAAACGAGAAGCCCGTTGAAAATGCTAAGGTATATAAAAAAAGGTAATCCAATTTTGCCTAATGTTATCGTGCGTTATAACTAATACGTGTATCGATTTTTTGCATATCTATAAAGATTATAGGCCTTTGGCTGTGTTAAAAAAAAACCGAATGCAATCTGATTTAAAGTTGAATTCACATTTTTCCGCCTTCGGGATTTAAATGTTCTTCCAATTTTCGAACATTTGCCCAAATGTTTGTTGACCATTTGGGAAACGTATAATGTCATTATGAGTGCAGTCTGCAAGCTTCCAGTATTGTAAAATGTACGTTTTAGCCACTCAATTGCGATGTAAAATTGCGAGTAAAAGTTTACCAAAACTATATGCTTATATACACATGCATGCGTTGCGCCAAATTTACTCAAGGGACTTAATTTGAATCCCAAATAAGAATAATTTGAATACACAGCTGGACA